TAGCTTTTAGAACTTTAGCTTTTAGAACTTTGATGGTCTTCCAACTTCAAAATACTTGAAAATGTTTGTGATACCCCATAACGTCTAGATACAAAGGGATCCGTAAAAAGTTCAAAATTTTAAAGTTTAAAGGTAATTAAAGTAATTTTGAAAGCTAAAGTCTCCACTCCGTTACATGAAAGATCTTATCTTAATCTGTCTCTGAGTAAAATACAACTATAAATCTAAAATTTTTGGTAAAACTAAATGGAAAACAAATAAATGAACACCAAGACGCCCTAATATGTAAAAATCCCCAAAGTTTAAGACTTTTCTTTAGCCCATGAGGCTTTGTTCAAAATTCAATAACGACTTACCTGAGTATCATATGAAGTAATTTGGTTTCTTCTTAGAACAACTTCAAATCACTGATCAGTGATTGTGATCACAATCACTGGAGAGCTAAATATTATATCGTAGTGATGATTTTCAGTTGACAGTTAACGTTTTTTTTACATAACCAACGACAAAAGTTTTATACGTCGGAATAAATGAAACATTAAGCAATCCAACTGAACATTGTAAGGCAATAAATAATGGGAGTACCTAGCAGTAAAGCTGAATTTGCGATTCAACTAATCAATAGAGGATTACTTAAAGATCAACAGGTCAAAGATCAATGCCTCGAATGGTTTAGATGAGAAATTCATTAATGTATCCAGCCCGAATTTGTTGATTGAAGACTTTCACTTAGCAACACAATTTGTAATGGCGTTCCGGACTGCCTCGTCTCAGACATTCAAAGACGTTTTACATTAGGACCATCAATGGTCAATTTCAATCAAATGTTTTAATTTTTGTATCCAACGTTTGTTACTTTGTCAGTATTTGATGAAACTGAGATGATGCAAATGATATGAGATGATATTATCTTCGTTAAGAAAGCTCTTCAGATTTGTTCATTCTTCAATGCAACTAAAATAATAATGAAATACTATGCTGTAATTCTCATGATTAAGGCTGAACCTATCACATATTTTTGGATCACAGGGTTGCCGAAGAGGCTACTTTAAAAAACTCACGCATAAAAAATATACACTGAAATTGATATGACAATACAGAATCAAAGGTGTTTTATTCTCTCATTTGGTTACAAACAGATACTTACAATTTAAACCTAAATTCAACCACAAATTACAAAGTTATCACACATATTTAAGCAACAATGGGAAACGGAAATTGCGGATTCTTATCGACACCCTTGTAAGTTATTAAGAAGTCAAACACACGTCCTGTCTCACCCTTGTCTAATCCTTTAATTTTTTCGACATCCTCTTCGCTAAGTGAAAAATCAAATACCTCGATATTCTCCCTTTGTCTCTCTTTGTTTGAACTCTTCGGGATGACAACCAGACCAGCTTGCACAGAGTGTCGCAGCAAAATCTGCCCAGCAGTTTTATTATATTTTTGAGCAAGATCTTTAATCTCGGGCAGGTCAGTGAGAGACTTTAAGTCTTTAGAAGTGCCTTTGTGAATCTTGTTTCTAGCACTTGGTGATCCCAAAGGTGAATATGCCGTCATAACTATGTTATATTTTTTGCAGAAATCGCGTAACTCGTTCTGCTGAAAATAACCGTGCGATTCTACCTGAAGGTTACTTGGCTTGATCTCAGCATTATTGTAAATGTTCAAAATTTGAGACTGGTTGAAATTACTGAGCCCAATAGATTTTGCACGACCTGCTGTCACCTGCTCCTCCATTTTCTTCCAAAGGGCCACATGATCAACACTCTCAAATATGTTACCATCGTCCTCTGCCTCAATAAAATCAGCCCTTTCTTTAGTCCCAAATGGTGCGTGTATTAAGTACATGTCCACGTAGTCCAAACCTAAATCACTCAATGATTTCTTCAAATATCTCTCTACTCTGTCGGGTTGGTTTCCATACTGTGGCAGTTTGGAGGTTATGAAGAGATCTTCGCGTTTCCCTCCTTTCTGGAACCATTTCTTCAAAGCAGCCCCGATTGCGGCCTCGTTTTTATAGCGGAAGGCCGTATCAAAGTGTCGATAGCCAGTTTCTAAGGCATTTGCAATGGCCTCGTCCATTTCTGTAAGTTTGATTGAACTCGTCCCCAGCCCGACAGCCGGAATTTCGTGCCCTGATGATAGCTTCAATTTATCGACAGCAGACCCATGCTGGAGACTTGCCACCAGTAAAAAACAGACGATGCTAGGAGCGACTTTCATTGTGTTAGGATGGAAATAATGAAAGTGGAGAATCACTCAGAGCTACTCGTATTTGGTGCGAATTCAGTTCGCTGGACTTCTCATCAGACACCTACAGAGTTTTGTACTCTTGAACTGGCCGGTCAGTAAAACTGAAACAAAAATAATTAAGAAGTCTCAATCATTACTCATAGGGAAGTTTTAAAAAATAGATGCGAACGAGATCCAAACCGCGATACATTCGTCCGAATTTGTCGATGAAACACTTTCAGTTAGCATCAAAATTTGTCACGGAGTCACAGATGACTGGATTTTAACACAAATGGTATTCCTTGTTTTTTGGCAGAATCACCAACTTGGTCCCTGTTTTTCTTCTGTTTTGAATTTCTGGATGAGGGATTGCCTCCAATCATCAGATATTTGATATTATTTGTTCAATCCAAAAATTACACTTTGCTTGTTTGTAACTTGAATTTCACTTTGTTATAATTTGTGTCCATCTTTTTGCACTTCGTGCTTACAATAAGAAAAACCTAACACTTCTTTCTTAGAATGATTTATGAATTTATAAAAGACAATTTTGTGCCTTGCGATTCTTCAAGATGCCCTTATACCATGAGCCTCATTACACTCATTAACGTCATGTACAATGCGTCTGTTGCATTCTGGCAGTTAATGTCCCGAAGCCGGGTCAATTTGATCCGAGGCTTGATAAAAACACGTGCCCCGTAGATTTTATTGGGCCGGTACATTCGAGCTTTAAATGTAGGTCTTGAAAGGTCTACAAATACATTGTAAGAAAAGAATCAGATAGCGAATTGAAAAAAAAGAACATCGAGCAGCAGGATTTTTTTTTTTTTTTTTTTTTTTTTTTTTTTTTTTTTTTTACAACTTCCCTCAGAAATCTCAAACCGAGTCAAATTGACCTGACTATCTCCTCTAGAAGAGTTATGAGGTTGGCACATAGGAGCTCACAAAATGGCTATAAACGCATTTGTGAAAAAAAAAATCAGACACCAAATTGAAAAAAATCTAGTATCATCACAGCCGAAGGTAAGAGAGGACTATTCGGGCCTCGGTTTTTAGTTTTTCTCCCAAATCTGAGTGACACCTCATTGGCAGCATAGAGCAGAGCATTGCGAGTTCACCCATTTTCGCACGATTTTGAAAAACAAAAATAAATATATAAAAAAACAACAACGTGCATAAAATGAACAGAAAATGCGCCATGATAAGTCCTCGATAAAACAATCATGTGCTTGCCTGCATGCAATCCTATGTTCATCTCAGTCAGGAGACTGAATAAGTAATTATTCAACTTCCTAATACAGCACAGCGTTACACATATAATACATCGGTTTTGCTACTCATCTCCATCACCCTGAAGATATTCAAAGATCAATAGGATACTGATCCGAGCTCATTTATTTGAAAAAAAAAATACACCAATATGCGATAATTCCTAACACCCATGCAATTATAAATTAAAACACTGTATATTATTTACATAGCGACGGTGAAACTCCCAAACCACGTATCTCGTTTGCGGTGTTTAAAAATCTCCGCTCCTATTATTAATTTTTTTCTGGAAGCGAATCAACATCTTTCCGTGTAGTTTTCACAGAATTTTCTTCGCACAGAGCAGAAAAATCACAGATATTTTCGGGAATGCACGTTGAGTGGTTTTTCTTTCAAAGAATAAAGTATGACAGCAAGTCTGCAACGTTGCAAACCGAGATACGTGGTTTGGGAATTTCACCGTCGATAGTTGAATAACTCCATCAGGGTCGGATTTACCTATTTGCCGCCCATGAGTTGCCTGTATTTTGCCGCCCCCTTCTCATTCGTTTCGAAGCATCGATACAAACCATCAAATGAACGTGCCGGCGGAGGAGGGGTGCATAAGACGAGTTTACCGTGTTAGGCACATTTTTAGTGAAAGCCCTGTCAACACTAGCAAAAGTTCACGGCACTTTGCGCGAAAGTGAAGTTCCGACAACCTATCTCTGTGTGGACAAGGCCTTTCATTTATAAGAAATGAATGAGAAAATTATGAAAGAATAAACATGAATGTGGTTTCATAATTTTAATTTCCGCCACCGCGCCACGCGCACTGTGTTGGCGCAATGCGTGAAGTATTCTTACAGTCTTGTAGGCGCTATGCGTCTCACGCCGACCGCTGCTGATCGCACTGTTTTTGACGCAATGCGAGAAGTATTCATGCAGTCTTGTAGGCACTATGATTTTAACGCCAACCGCTGCTGACCGCACGACGTTTGAAGCAATGCGTGAAGTATTCATGGAGTCTTGTGGGTGCTAATATGTGTTTCATGCTGACCAGCGCGCTGTGCGCCGAAGGCTTCTCCTTTTCATCTCAAGTCTTCGTCATTACTCATTACTCTCTGCGTCGCGCCGCTCCAGGCCAAATTGCATGTTTAGTTTCTCTTTCAACTAGACTGATGAAAGGCGCTGTCTCTTGTATCGCCGAAAGACGAACATATTAGAAATAACTGTACTTTAACTCTCAGTACATGAGAGATTTTGTCGCCTTTTCTCGTTTATAATTTTTTTTAATCCGATTTTTTTTTTTTTTTTTTTTTTTTTTTTTTTTTTTTTTTTTTTTTTTTTTTTGATACCTACATTTGAAAATAATTGCAACATTTTCCGTCCCGTAAATTTGCCGTGGCATGGACCGCGGCCCATGTGGCGAACCCCTAAATCCAGCCCTGAACTTCATTACATTTAATCATACTTTTAATTCATTTTATTCGTAAGATATTTAAATGAAAGACATATTAAGGCATGAGAATTGATTTATTTCGATATTACATCACATGCAGGTAAGGAAATCAGATACAATTATTCCATAAAATTAAAGCAAGTGTTCTATTCGTTCATTCAGCTAATTTTGATAGGTAAAAATCTTCAAACGGCACGGGTAGCAAATGGATACTGAGGATTTTTGTCGATCCCCTCGTAGTAGTACACAAAGTCAAAAACGCGTCCCATCTCACCTTTGTTCAGACCATTAATTTTTTCGACATCCTCTCCACTCAGTGAAAAATCAAAAATCTCTATATTCTCCCTTTGCCTGTCTTTATTTGAACTCTTAGGAATAACGGCCAAACCAGCTTGGACAGTGTGCCTCAACAGAATTTGCGCGGCTGTTTTGTTATATTTTTTGGCTATTTCTTTTATTTCAGGGAGGTCAGTAAGCCGTGGCAGACTTTTATCAGTGCCGTTATGGAACTTGCCTCTCCAAACCGGCGATCCTAGTGGCGAATATGCCGTCATGACGATATTATATTTTTTGCAAAACTCTAGTAACTCTCTCTGCTGCAAAAACGCATGCCACTCTACCTGCAGATTACTCGGCTTAATTTCGGCATTAATATAAATGTTCAAAATTTGAGTCTGGTTGAAATTACTGAGACCGATCGATTTAACACGACCTGCCGTGACCTGCTCTTCCATCTTCTTCCAGACGGCCAAATGATCTACATTTTCGAATATGACCTTCCCGTTTTCCTTTACTTCGGTCATGTTTTCCCCCTCCTTGAATCCAAACGGTTTGTGTATCAAGTACATATCTACATAGTCTAAATCTAGGTCTTTTAAGGACTGTTTCAAGTATTTCTCCACGCTCTCCGCTCGGTTTCCATGCGTTGGCAATTTAGAGGTGATGAAAAGGTCCTCCCGTTTTCCCCCTTTCTGAAACCATTTCTTCAGAGCGGCCCCAATGGCAGCCTCGTTCAAGTACTGGAAAGCTGTGTCGATATGACGGTAACCCATTTCTAAAGCGTTGGCTATAGCCTCGTCCATTTCGGTAAGTTTGATCCAGGAAGTCCCCAGACCGACGGCAGGGATTTCGTGTCCAGAAGAAAGTTTGAATTTTTCAACCGCGTTACCATATTGGAAATTTGCAGCCAGTGACACGCATATGATTATTAAATTCCCCTTCATTTTCATAATATAACCAGGGATGGGATGAAAGGAAACGGAAGAATGGGCTTGTTTAGTTGTTTGATGCTCCTGCCTGTGCTTTATGCGGAATGTCAAAATTGTCTCCGGATCAGATCGATGATAGACGTTCCAATGGGGTTCGGTTTTCTCCCATGAACCACTCAACTGAAAGCAAATAGGATAAATGAAGAATGATGCGAATCCCACTTATTGGTATAAAAATAGCTGACCCTGTTATGGACAGAAGAAGTCCCCTCGAAGTCTATTCTTTTTGTGTCAATTATGCCAATCAGTAACTTTTGAAGTACACCTCCAAATGGACTACTATATTCGATTTGCAGTGCAATTTCTGGCCCATACCTAAAAACACTTATGTGCTTTGGGGGTAAAATGGTACGTAAGTTGTTTCTAAACTGAGCCAGAAATCGTAGTTCCTAATTGCAAAATGCAGTCCAAGTGAACAACTGAACAGCATATGAAATGAAGAGCCACGGCACATTCATATTTTCTGGACAAAATTTCAATCAAAACATGTTGAAATACCAAAAATTTCCAAAAGTAATTCTTAAGTGAGAGAGAAACAATTTTCGTTTAAAAAATATTTACAGTAAATTCAAAATTGATGTCTGCGAAATAACCGCATTTACGTTTTCATTTAATTTCTACCTTCTCTGCTCTTATTGATCACCCTAATCAAATCAATAGTCAGCAATGTTTCATAAACCCTTGCGGAACCAGTTTGCAACGTTTCATAAACATAAATCGAATCAAATGTAAATACTGCTTTCTTACTGATGCTTAGATACCGCTTACATTGAAATCAACCTAAATTATGTTAGGCACATAACTACAGCTTCATTTCACGCGTACTTATGTTTTTTTCCTTTTCTCACTTGGGTTATTTTTAATCTCATGAAAGAAAATTCGTGACATGAAAATTCTTCCATCGTAAAATATATCGAGAGTAGTTTTAATGCTCAACTTTACTCGAGAATACTAATTTTTTTGTGAGCGGGAAGTGCTAATCAACGTAGACAACGTATTTTATAACTTAAGAGCAGTGGCGTGGCGTGAATTGCGGTTTATCGATTGTTATGCCATTTAAACCTATGGAAAAGGATCGATAAACAGGGTGTTCGCAGCGAACACCTTAATAATCGATTCTTTACCATAGGTTTAAATGGCATAACAATCGATAAATCGCAATTCACGCCACGCCACTGCTTAAGAGTATTAAAGCGTTCAGTGTCTTCTACGTAAAAATTCTATTAAAAAACAAATACTGTAGTAATCAATTTCGTGCTTGGTCTTGTTGTTCATGGCGAGCAAACATCGCAGCAATATTACCTAATCAAGGAAAAATACTTTGACATGTGTCTTACATAATATTTGACATAACTGAGAATTTATTACCTTTCTCTGAATAATGGATATTATTTGAGGGGCTTTGGAGGATAAGGCGCAGGAGTGCAGTTTTTGAAAAAATTGAGATATCAGTGATTTTAACTAAATCTAGGTTTGAAATAAATACTGTGAAAAATTCACCGGTGAAATCCAATTTTCAAGCATCCAAATGTTAGCTTGATCCTTTTTCCGCCATATAATTTCAAAACTTTAAACACGTTCTTCTCGAAATAGTAAAAACTGCACGTAGCGCTTTGTCCTTCAAGTCCCTCATTTGACTGGTCACTGAACCGCGTTTGCGTTTTCACGATTTAAGCTTAAGAGGAAAAAGTAATTAGATCTGGTTCAAAGGGACTACATCTGCCTTCGAAAAAAACGGTGGATGACGGTATCTGCTATGTTTGTTGGAGGGCAATATCTCTGTTAATATTGGACAAAGGAAACTTAGGTTTTCATTTTTATTTTTTTTTTCTCCATATGGATCTTACTATTTTTTCTAAAACCATGATAACACGATACTATGGCTAGCACAACTGGCCCATTAAATTAAATTGAATTGAATTGAAAACAAAGAAATGACTGCACTGGAAATGTTCCGCCAACATTGCTGGCTAATAGTACTACACAAAAAGACTGACAATAATGGTGGTAAGACGGATATAATGCTGACTAGCGATGTCAGAATACCATGCATATAAAATGTTACGTTTTTCTTTTCGGTGCAATTATGCAAAGCAAATTTGCTTTGTAATATTCCAGACAAAATTAACGTAACCTTTCACGGGTAATGAGTACGTTTTAAGTTGACGGTCAATGAATTTTCGTCTAGATCAAATTGAGTTGTGAGTGTTTTTTTCCCCCAAAGATGTTATTTGTAGATTCTGCCATTATGTGACGAAGCTTTTTTTGCAGGTAGATTAAATATGACACTAAACTCTAAACTATGATGACTCATCGGCTGTATTTTTTTTCAACTCTAAGCATCCAAATATTTAAATAAAATTTAAGAAACCAAAACTCTTGTTAATTGGACAATTCAACTATTTCTGTCCACCTGTTCGATTGAAGTCTTTAAAAATGCAATATATATCGAGTTTATGCTTCGAAACACAATTCTAAACGAAGGCAAAAAGAAAAAAATTACTTACAAAATTTAACAGTTCAAATTACACACTGCATTACTGCATCGGAAATTCGATCTAAAGAAACCAAACAGCGATCGATTCTTTGGATCAAGCGACTAATCACTAACTTTGTAGGAAAAATTCACAAGAATACATATACGGCACCAAATTTTAAAAAAATAATGATTGCTCGTGGAAAATTACAGCACATCAATCGAGAAAAATAATATCTAATTCAGCCACACTGAATTAGTGACTGAGCTAGCTCTCATAATAAACAGATTGTGAGGTCACAGGTCAGTCGTTGCATTTCACTCGTCTATCGCTCCTCGACCCTCAGTAGACGATTCTTAATGTTTTTAAATCCATCTGTAACAGAACAGCGTTGCGATGTACAATGATAGTCTTTATTTTGGCATAAATTACAGCGAGAAAGTGTGCTCCTGTGCGATTTTAAGAGGGTAAAATGAAATCAGAATTGACACGAAGACTGCTCATTATACATAGAGTTAACAACTTTAAAAGTCAATTCATAGACTTTGAGTTGAGAGCCATTTGTTGGGGGCCATTTCTTGCGAAAACGTGATTTGTCTAGAAAACTTCTGAATATTTTCCTTGGAAATCTTCAGAGGGCTGTACTTGTATTTGAATGAAATGTACCTGAAAATTTCAAGGAGAAATTATTATAACAAATATCTAGGTTGATAGGATCATAATTTTCAGGAATTAAAAATGTACTTAATTAGCTGAGAGAGGGGGGAGAATGGAATGAATATAGACGAATGGATACAAAAAATATAACAGATGAAAATTGGCGAATATTTTCGATTGTTATTGCAGTGTTGACATTACATAAACTCATTGAGTCCTGCTTAGTATTTGTATGTAAAAACAGGTATGTTTTTGGGTTTTATCCGTGAGGCAAGGCTGAGAGAGAAAAATCACCTAAAAATAGCCAGCCCCATCAAATCTTTTTCGACACTTTAAAAATGGAAAGAAGAGTGTCTAAACGGTGACATCAATTTCAACGGTGAGTGCTGAAAAGTTTGAAAGAACGTGATACAGAAACTCTCAAGAGCTTCGCTTAACTCGCGTTCTCAGTGTAGGGTAAATTGCCTAGTCTCTTGATTGAAGGCGACTTATAAGTTCGTCTCAATAGAGTGCTGTCAAAAGGCATTTTCAACAACCACCGACGTATTTCTGCTGAATTTCTGCTACTTTTTCAACAAGTGACAATGGATGACGGATACTGCAGGTATTTGAGAATATTTCCAACTTTGTCTTTAAAAAAATCGATTCCTGATGAAGCAGCTTGCCTCGCCTAGAATCGATATTTTAAATGGGTTTATTCGAATTTTCAGGGAACTCGATTTCGAAAATTCGCTCGTTGATGCTCCCTCCGGTAACTCAGCGGATCAGTTTTTGTCAGTGGCGATTCGTGAAAGTTGGCAACAATGTTTCTCCTCCATTTAAAAATATGTGGAACAATCGATTCCTGATGAAGCAGCTTGCCTCACCTAGACTCGATATTTTAAATGGGTTTGAATGAAGGAAAAATCGCCACAAGTCGCCATCTAATGAATCTCGACTGGTCGTCATAGCCTGCGTCATTTTTGGATCCGGGAGACAAGTGACAGCAGGCCCCAGGAGGAGTCTACGATCTGCCGGAGCAAACATCGGTGGGTGTCAACAACCTTGATCCAGTGGCGTGTCGTGCCTTGCGATAGAATCGATTAATCCGTCATTTAATCTTATGGGAGAGGATCGGTTATGAAGGAACATCTTGATAATCGATTCTTTACCATGGCTTTAAATGGAAAAATATCGATAGCCGTCGATTTACGCTTCGCTGCTGCATTGATCCCGCTCCCATCGCTCCCGCACTATGCCATAACAACGTATCTTCACACGATCTTCCATTGAAACTAAGCGGTTGTCACCTCAGACTGCTCGTGCATTCGACACTGCGCCAAAGATCCAGCATTCTTGCCCACTCCGGGTTGCATCTTGCATCATGGAATTCTTGTCGCGCGCCGCGAGATCTGGTGCTTTAACCTCGAGTCATCTACACTCCCGTTTTCGGATGATTCCCAACTGCGCAGTTTCTGATGCCTCTCCTAGGGGCCGAGATCCTTCATGTCTCCGATTTTGCCAACGGACCTGTTGCAAACTTCAGCAAGAGCAAAAAGAAGAGTTGTTGTGTATAGAACATGGCTCAAAAATCACATCGGGACAAATCGTCCTCTTCCGAACGAAGGAACGTATCTCCATTCAGAGGTTGCCAAATTGACTCAAACAATTTAATTTTTTACAAGAATGTGCCAGTAAAATTTTAGTCAAATTACTTTCTGATTTTTGCATATGAGATTCGGGAAAAATCAGTGAAATTTTTCGTTAGAGATGCCTAAGATTCTTCTGGAAAAATTGGAATTTGCGCGGGGAAATTTGGCAACATTGAAATTTAGTTACGTTCTTTCGTGAGGGGAACGACGAAATGAGCACATCATGATGGTCTAAAATACACCAAAACTTCACAAACAACACAATACTTCACAATTTGCCGGAGAAATATGCGGTTTTCAAAGCTTTCTGCTTCAAAAACGAATTTACGGCACAGGTGAACATTTCGTAAGCTAGTAAATAAGAAAAGTCCAAACGTCTATTGGAGCGTAGTCCTGGGGGACAAAGGGCAGGGCCAGATTCAGGGGGTGGCTGCGGCCCATGGCGGCAAATTTAGGGAGCGGGAAATATTGCAATTTTTTTAAATGTAAATGTATAAAATAAAAACGGATTCAGAAAAAAAATTAAAAATGGGAAAAGACGGCAGAGCCTCTCATTTTCCGAGAACAGAAGTTCAGTGATTTCTAATTTTGTCGTCTTTCGGTGATACAAGAGACAGCGACCTTCTATTAGTCGAATTAAGAGATAAATCATACATGCAATTCGCCCTGGAGCGGCGCTGCGCAGAGAGCAATGATGACGAGGACTTGATGAGATGAAAAGGAGAAACCCTCGGCGCGGCATGAAACACACACTAGCGCCTACAAGACTGCATGAATACTTCACACATTGCGTCTACACAAAGCGGTCAACGGTCGAGGTAACCGCGTGAAACGCACAGCGCCTACAAGGTTGCATGAATATTTCACGCATTGCGTCAAACACAGTGCGGTCGGCGCGGCGGCGAAAGTTAAAACTATTTTACCACATATATGTTTGTTTTTTTCAAAATTTTTTCGTTCATTTCTTACAAAAGGAAGGCCTTATCCACACAGAGATAGGTTTATGGAATTGAACTTTCGCGCAAAGTTCCGTGAACTTTTGCTATAGTAGTGTTGACAGGGCTTGCACAAGGAATGTGCCCAACACGAGTAAACGCGTCTTATGCACCCTTCCCCCTCGGCGCGTTCAATTAATGGTTTTTATTGATGTTTCAAAACGAATGAGAAGGGGACGGGAAAATACAGGCGGCCCATGGGCGGCAAGTAGGCAAATCTGGCCCTGACAAAGGAGGTAGGAATTTTTTTTTAAAATTTTCATTTTGGCAGTAATACTNGTGAAACTACCAAACCACGTATCTCGTTTGCGGTGTTTAAAAATCTACGCTCGCATTTTATTTTTTTTGAAGTAGACCAAATCAATATCATTCCTTGAAATTTTCACACAATTTTCTCCGCACGAAGAGGAAAAATCACAGAAATTTTCAAGACTGGGCGTTAAGTAGTTTTTCATTTAAAAAGTAAAGTATGACAGGAAGTCTGCGACGTCGCAAACCGAGATACGTGGTTTGGTAGTTTCACCGTCGATATATGTTCGTTTTTTTCAAAATGTTTTCGTTCATTTCTTACAAAAGGAAGGCCTTATCCACACAGAGATAGGTTTATGGAATTGAGCTTTCGCGCAAAGTTCCGTGAACTTTTGCTATAGTAGTGTTGACAGGGCTTGCACAAGGAATGTGCCCAACACGAGTGAACGCGTCTTATGCACCCTTCCCCCTCGGCGCGTTAAATTAATGGTTTTTATTGATGTTTCAAAACGAATGAGAAGGGGACGGGAAAATACAGGCGGCCCATGGGCGGCAAGTAGGTAAATCTGGCCCTGACAAAGGAGGTAGGAATTTTTTTTTAAAATTTTCATTTTGGCAGTAATACTTGAAAAGCGAGACATAAAAGATACAAAAAGTCAGTTGCGCTGGTCACAGAATAGTATATTGACGTTTGATTCTCGTATATTCGATATATATAATGATCTGTCTTAACAGCAACTTTCTGCGATCAATATTATCCGAGATATCACCCTTTAAAAATTTCGGTTAATGACGTCATACACCGCGGTTATGCATACACCGTGATTTCTTCCATCTTAGCTCCATTAACCGGAGATACACTCATTTACATCGGTTGCTCAACGTGAAACCGGATGATAGCAAGGTGGAAGAAACTAAGGGTGTCACTACTGCGGTGGATGACGTCATAAACCGAATGTTTCAAAACACGATTCTGTGACCAGCGTAACCATCTGCATCTAGTATGTAAATTATAATAAAAATGATTATTAATCATGGTGACTCAGGAATAACAATAAAAATGAACGCGACCTATACTCAGCAACTCAGCGTGCATGAGCGCGAAGCAGCAATTCGATCATCTGAGAGTGGCAGAGTATCACTCGGAATTGAAGGCGAACTTAACGCACCAACTCACTCGGCCAATTCCTGTGACGGCTGAAGACGATGTATTTTAAAAAGAGCAACTTGCACGGTGCTTGATAACGGCACATTAAAAATATTCCGCATGCTTTTGATGCGCCTAATTATGATTGGAGGCAGTGAGTGCGTGTTTGTAGAAATTCCAGTGATTACAGTAAATTTTTCAGGGGTAAAACATTTAGTTAAATTTTCTGACAATAAAATTAAAAAAATTATTAGACAAGAACCACATTGTTTTCTGTTTCTCTAGAAATGGTCAAATATTATAGGTTACGGTGCACGTGCAAAATTAATAAAAATTCACAAATTTTTGCTTGAAAATCGTGATGACGTATCTATTCGACGAGAATGAGTGCGCTGAAAGGTGGAGACAAAAAAACGTATCTCAAAAAATAACCACATAGCGTGGTAAATTTGTGACGAAAAAGAGTTCAAACGAAAGGAATTTAAAACTTTTGGTGTTAATTTTTTCATTTAGGTTCTTTCAGCGCAAATTAGTAATAATGTTAATATTAGGGAT